AATACCGAGTGAGCATGAAACTAAATTAACGATAACGTATTTTCACCAACTCAAACTATTGTACAGTTCGTGACGCTGTAATAAGTCCCAAATTTATTTGTTGTACGCCTTTCTTAGTCGTCCACCCCGGCGGGCTGCTTCCATGCGTCTGCCTGATGTCGAGGGCTGCTCTTCCGTATTTTGTGTTTGTGTTCCCACGGTGCGTTTTCCCCTCAGTGCCATGTTGTGATGAAAAGCAGCGAAACATTCGCCCGCGTGAAGGTGAACTTTACAAATTGGGCATCCTTTCGATGTTTCTGATAATCGGCCACTCGCTGTTTTTCTCCTGTTTTTGCTGCACTGCTTACACAATTTTTAACGCCCGGATAGTCTCCATATTTCGTGCGAATCCATGTTTTCACTACGAATAAATGACGTGTTACTTGGAAGAGAGCCAACTTCTCTTATGGATTTTTGAATTCTACTCGAGTGTCCACCAATCAGTTGTTTACCTGTGCGGATATTGAAGAATTTGTGCGTTACTTTAGTCGTGCGATTCAATGCCTTGAAACATTCATAAGCATTGACCAATGCAACATCTATGAGGTAACAGGTCATGTAGATCCACCAACGATTGTTTTTTCTGCCCTTGTGATAGTATTTTCGCCTTTGGTTAGAATGATCCACGCCACCCATGTGATGTCTGTAACATTGTAACGATACAGGCACGTGTCTCTCGTCATCTACTGCTTCTGCCGACGTAGCCAGTTGGGGATAGACTGTATTTAAAATCAATATTTGCGCGCTGTCATCCTGGTATGCAGTAATATTGATAGTGTCGTCCGGTCTAGTTGCTGCTTTCATTTCACCAATTTTCAATTTCAGCTTCTTGCTTTTCCCCTCAGGAATTAATTGCGGTGGCATGGTTTTCCGATTTCGTCTGCTAAAACTACCGACCATGTACACTTTCTTGTCTTGTAATTCAAGGGCTGTGTTAACTGACGTAAAAAGCGAATCACAGAAAAGAATATGGTTTTTTTCTGTGAAGGGCTGTAGCAACCGGTGTGTTGTCTTCTTGATTGTCCCAGTTTCTTTCTTTCTCCCCTCAATTGTAGTTTTATATTTCACCCCCAAATATGGTTCAAAGTTTGCAATGTAAGACGTTGTCGAGTCGCACACCTGCCATATTTTGAAGCCATCACGGTCGGGTTTGTGGGGCAATCTCTGCTTAGACATGGACCGGCCCTTGATTCTAATCATACCCTCATCAATCGAAATTTCCTGTCCCATCTGGTAGTATCGCCGACAATTTTCGAGTATGGGTTTCAGCCACGGGTCGGCCTCTGATCGTTGATGACGACGTTCAATGTCAGATCCCGCCGTGGGTCATTTACTGGATCAGCTAAATGAAAATAACGCATTAGCATTTGAAATCTGGCCCGAGTCATTACTGACGCAATTCCCATATTCTGCAGAAAGGGGTCACTCGACCAATAATCGTCGA